TTGAATTTACATTCCGTTCAATAACATCACCAAACCCTGGCTTTCAGATTGCTGGAATTCCAAAAGGTTCTTGCTTTAAGCTTTTTGTTGATTTTCTTTGACAAAATCGATGAAATTATTATATAAACTGATGTTATATAGCCAGCATTAAACAAACATTCTCCATAGCGGTTACACTTAAGGGATGGTCAAGTTGTTTGAATTATAAAAAAGTGTGTCGAGAACCTTTGGAAAATGGCCAAAATTTGGTAAACGTACACGAGCTTTATGCAGTATCACAATTAAAACGATTTTCTATGGCCGTTAAATTTTCAGATGCAATTGCTTCAACTTCAAACAAGTCACGAATCCAAGTCTGTCACCGTATTTAAAAATTGTACATACACTTTTGCCCTTAGTATCAATTAAATATATCTTCCCAAGTTCGGGACTTCCAATGCTAAAAGTTATTTTGTCATAAAATGTAGTTCTTTCATTTTTCAACAGATATGTTTCGAAAAATGAGATATTCGAAAGCAAAACTGTTCTCGTATTCCGAAAACTCGATCAAAATATTGCATGTTTAATTGATGTGGAATAATGTATGAGAAACGTGGCATGTTCTTTTCTATTGATGCCGACATTAAAAAAAGGAAGATAAAAAAAATCTTGCCCCGATACTTGCTGAGCAGTGCGCGTGCATTTGACATAAGTTAATGACACTTGGTAACAGTTTTAGTTAGCTTGCTGTGTTTTGTCCGCACAAGTGACTCATCAGCCGTTGTTTCTAACCCCGTGAGAGAAATACGGAATAAAACGAATGTCAAAAAGAACAAACATTAGATGAAATGATATCCCAGGGTTCATGTATTCACCTCTCGGGTGCATCTTACGATTTGGCATCACGATAGAATCCTATTTTGAAGTTCCTTTGTTTAATTATAATGCCAATTCATTTATCGATTTAGTTATTCTTATATATTTATCAAATTTCGTTTCAATAGACGTAAGTTTTAAGAAGGAATATTGGGAAACGCTACATTTCGTTTCTGAATTTCTTATGAAAAGTTTCCAAAACATCAAATAAATACTTGAATTAGGAATTGATATATTCTATTTGTGTAGAAATTTCTACCGGACAAAAACAACCCAATTGAGGATTTGGATATATTTTTCAAATTTAGTTAATATAGATGAATGTTGGAAGTAGAAATACCGTGTAATGATAAATATTTCAGATATGAATTTCTTAAAAATATCTATACTGAAACTCTGGCTAAATATTTGAAATAAGAATTAGAATTTGTGTGTATTAAACTCAATTCGGGAGAAAACAAAATGAGAATTTGGATGAAATGTAATAAATTTAAGTATCAAAGTGTATCACGAACAAAGAGTGAAATTATATAAAATAATCTGTTCAATTGTTACTTATAGTAAATGCTGTAAATATAAATATAATTTACATGCAAAATACAAATTTAGTTATGCGAAATAAAGTGAATTAGAGTTGGAAATAAGAGGATGTTTGTTAGAGAAATCTGTTTAAAACACATAAATCTCAGTTAAATCTCAGTGTTAGCTGTCGGTGTCTTTGTCTACCTAAAGGCCATAGCCCTTCTAGAATTTATTATCAAATTATAGCTCAAATCTTATGACATTTGGCCAAACGATTTGTACTTTATTCAATTTTCAGCACTGCTTAAGACGAGAAATATAGGCAGACAAGAATCTTTTCTTTCTCTATCAAGACCCTTCTTTCTCTTCTCCCTTAAGGGGAATTGGAGTTTTCGATTGACTTGTTCGTTGTTGGACTTCTAACCCAATCTCGGCAGTGTATCCCAGGGGTGATTGCTCGGGGCCATCACAATACTTGCCCATCTGTGCCTCAAATAAAGATCGGTCAATTCAAACACGTCGATAGATTCTAGCCAGATAGCCCTCGGTTAGAAAACTTATCATTCAATTCAAGCGAATTCCTGATTTTATTGTGAACTCTGTGTCCCGTATGCAGTTCCTTTGCAATTTCAGTAGCAGTGATTGCGACATATTTACGCGATTTGGTGGTTTTCTAGTATTTTATGGCATAAGCTCGTACTACCAATTCCGTTTAAGATTACGATCAATACTTGTTACAGGTCTATAACAATATAAACTGGGCATCAAGTGGGAGATTGTTTGCCACTAATCCTTTTGTTTTTCTCCCATGTTGCCCAATCTGTAACTCTCAATCCACTTACGGTTAATAATAAGCGCGTGGAGACAGATTAGGTGCGACTCATCGGAGCAACCGATGATAATTTAGCTGTAATTTGTCAATTCGCCAACTAGTATAACAAGATTACGACTGCGATACGACACTTAATTTGCACCAAATTGAACAGCTTCGGGCTTTTTTAATCTAGTTAACCGAAACGTTCTTTTCATTTTCGGCTCATCTAAAGTAAATGGTCCGTAGAGAAATATTGAGTAAAACACGAGAGTAACAACTCACCATTTCACACGTGGTAAACTGGCAATTATTATCTCATCTTGTCAACAATATTTGATAATTTTATTGCCGGATTAGAAAGTCAGCTGCATCGTGTATTGTTTGCCAGGCAAAGCATCTCTAGTGAGAGAATATGAACGTATTGCTATTTACGCAACCTTGATGTTAGGAGCAACTGTGTTAATTTTAATTAATGCCTTGTTTTAAAATTTGAAATTATCCAGCTTTACTTTAAGTCATTATGTCCATCCCCTTTCAGATTACCGTATACTAAAAAAAAATACCGAGCTTTATTATGCATGCATTTAGACCTTTCAGATAGGATTTTCTTCTTGTCTGGCTCCAATCTGGTTATAATAGGGTTTACACGATGCTATGTATAGCTGGTTGCACCTTTAACACGAGAAAGGGATTAAACTGGTAACACTTGTACCTTACTTAACATATTTCATTTAGTTGTCAGAAAGTTTCATTACTGTCACGACGACTCAAAATAATAAACACTATTTCATCCTATTACTGGTGAATAGATGTTCACAATCGAACGAGTTCGCCGATATTATATCTCCCATCTTTGACAATACAGGGGGCAGTATGGTGACGCCCGATTTGTACGGCAAATCCTATAAGTTATTCCTCGCCCGACTCGCTCAAAGAAACTCTTTGGAGGTATTTGTGAGAACAAAATGGGCGCTCTTGGTAGTTCTTAAAGCCTATTTTCAACCATTGTCGTCTAGGATAGTTTTTCTACAAGGGATTATTTTTCAGCGCAAGCGAAGACGTGGGGCTGTGTTTGATTGTAATATACCCTGACAGGACTTAGATTCTATTTCAAATTGTATCGATCCTTGGGAGGTTTTCTGGCGCCAATTGGTGCGTGTACCTCACGCGCTAGCCCATCACTTCCTTCTCAGAATATTGAATAGCTGATTTGAGCATCTGATAATCCTTCGATTTCTCCCAACATGAAATATGCATGACATGTCAAATTTATTCCCGCCATTGTTATCTTAATATATCTTATAAATGTGGAATCAAGTTTGGTCGTGTTGATCGCATTATACATAATGTTGTTTTAATTACGTTACTGGTTCATGAATATATTTTTTATACTATTTTCACAGATCAAGGTGTTGATTTTATACTTTTATCATATTTATGTGAAAATAACAATTTGTCAGTATTTGTAGTAGGTATTAAAACTAAAACAATTAGAATGGCATCCATAAAAATCATCATTATACTTATTATAGATAATATAGTATGATTATAAAATGAAAGCATAAATCAAAAATACATTTAACTTAAGTTATTAATAGTAAAAAAAATATTATGGGTTTTTTCTCTGTTTTAATTCTAACTTTTCGTAATTATCAATGAATAATTCAGCCGAAGTCTTTAGTTTATAATTTCTGAAATATTTAAAATCAAAATATCTTTCACCAATACCATGTCGAATTTCTGATTTAGATCATCTATAACTTAATGCCTATTTTTGTTACACATTTCTGATCTGGATAATGATTAAAACGTAAATAAATTCTGTTTCACCAAAAGTAGTTGGACCATGCTTAGATTGGGAATACATTGTATTTCAAAATAGAGAATTGGGCTATTTTCAGAAAAAGCCTGGAGGGTACAGACAATTTTTTGTCTTTTAAGTTTTGTTGTACATTTTGTTTAATTATATGACACACAATCGCCTTAAATGTATGTTTGGTTTTTATGGCTGGCTTCCAACTGGGCTTTCGGTCCACAAAACTCTTCCATGACACTGGAAATGGCTTTGTTGGTTAGTATCGTACTGATTCTGAAGTCGGTCTTATTTATCGTGCTTTAGAGAAATGTGTCAACAATATACCCATAGATATCCCCTTATCACATACTTTTATTGTAAAACAAACTTAAATCGTGCTGTGAGAAGTAGAGCCCGAAACTGTTTAACAGTAGGCTTTAATGTCGGATAATTTACTAACCGCGACGACAAAAAAAATCGCTTCTTTCTCCTTTCATAGTAATTAAGCGTAAATTCGCCCAAATTTTGATATACTTACCAGAAAATAACATAGCTCATTAAACACTATTTACTATGCGGAGTATGCCCAAAGCGTTCTACTGTCTTTTCGTCGAAGGAAAAAAAAACCAAATTATAAATAAAGTTTTCATAACAAGTTATTAAATATGGATAGAAATTCAGTTACAATTATTATTTATATATTTAACACGAGTATGTGATAGTTTCAAAACAAACTCTAAACGATAGCCTTTTCCAATCTAGTAACTCGCAAATCATTTTTAAACCCTTCGTGAGCATGATATTTTGTAATAAAACCAAAATATGCATATATACAGGGTTCCAAATTTTAATCTTTTTGGAGTATATCGTAGGTTACAAGTGCAAATTTAGACATACTATAGCGCACTCCATGTTTCCACCTTCCGTTATTCCATTCTATTGTACACCCCTACTCCCTCGGGTGATGCCAATGGTTATTGTTTTGACTAATGTTTTTCTTATGGTTTATTTCAGGTTCAGACGGGGAGGATGATTGTGATTTAGATAGCGGTATAGATACACAGGGAAATATATCGGATAAAGAATTTTGTTTAGAAGGAGACAATAGTCGTGAGGGAAAAGAAAACATTTTATCCAATATAACAAACAATAATAATACAAACTATTTAAATAATAATAATAACAATATAAACAACAGTTCCACGAACCCCCTCTTATCTCCAAGTATTAACAGTCCCTCAGACATTAAGGAAGAACCTCCATTATCTCCGGCAAGTTGTTGTCCCATCGGCAGTCCGGCATCAGTCACATCCAACATGTCCGACCTAGGAAGCGGAAACAGAAATACGTCAGACAGACAAGACAGCGCGGTGGATTTGAATGCGAATCCTCCAAGTAATGAAAGCAACGGCAGTGCTAGTCCCTCGGGGAGCATCAACGGGGAAAAGGGTTCCGGGAAAGATTGTGGCAGTGGGGGCCAAGTTGGTGCGAAACGACGGGGACCTAGAACTACGATAAAAGCCAAACAATTAGAAGTTTTAAAAGCGGCGTTCAATGCCACCCCAAAACCAACACGTCATATTCGTGAACAACTTGCTCAAGAAACAGGACTCAATATGAGAGTGATACAGGTAAGAGAATACTATTTAATTTTTAAAGCCAGAAAAAAGGTCAAAATTAAAATTTTGGGTGGGTTGAAGTATATCACAGCTCAGGTGTTACATTCCATCTCGAACAAGACAAAATGCACAATACAATCCCACAGGCGACATATACAATTTGAGCGTTTCAGTTCTAATTCTGATATGCAGTTTCAATGCTATATGTTTTCCCTTTACAAGGAATAGGACAATTGTTAACTATTTTGTAGTGATGGGTTAGTATGCGGATTGTTGGCAAGCCTTGCCGCCCGTGGAGACGAGTTGTGGGGGTATTGTCTAGGCCCAGAGAAGAGTGTCACAGTGCTTTCCGCCTCAACGCATACGTCTTTAACACCCTGAATGCTGACACCCGTTGGCTTGTTTGTGTAGAAGACAAAATCAATGATGGCCATACATGAGATCTTTTTTCATTTTATAACGCCTCGGGGATTATCTTTACAAGATATACTCAGTTTTTAAAAGAGATCAGACATCGCTTGCTTGAGGTAGTTTCAAATATTCACTTAAGCTAACAATAGCGACGAGTGGATAAGGTGAAGGAGCACAGAGGGCGCTTTGTACCAACAGATTACTGGGAACACATTGCTATTGACGTATAGTTTAGTACTGGTTATATATATGTATGCTCTCAGAAAATATTCATTTCATATGCCATAATACTGGTTAATATGGGAATGTTAGTCCTCTTATAGTCAATTCTTTTATTACACATTAAAGAAATCGGACAGAATAGAGCCGTCGCCTGGCGCCTGTGGTTTCAACATTTCTATGAGGATTGGTTTCCGCCCCGCCAGAGGCCTTTATTTCAATCCAAATTTTTAGTTTTACCCTTTTTTTAAGAAAAGTAAGTAGAGTGTCAAAACACCGCTGGATACCATATTTTTTATAACAAATAAGATTATTTAATTTCTAATAAATCTCCTAGATGTAAGCTTAAGATTCAACATTTCAATATGGTTCACAGCCGTGAAACATGCATTGTACACAATGTATAGAAAAGTTCATTGCATTTTAATAATGCATACTTAAAATATTATTTTTGCAGAAACTTTATCAAAATAAAACAGCTTCATCTTTTATTGACGAAATCTGCTTCGAATATTTGACTATGATTTAATCTCGAAAGCGCTAATTTCGTTTACTTAATTTACCCAATCTGTATTCAGTCAAATTATTGCAATCTTTTGAAAACGTTCGTGTATTAACCTTCTTTTTGATCTCACATTCTCAGACTTAGGTCATGTAAGCGTACTTATTTAACTCCACAGAGTTCAATTTGAACCATGAAAACTTTTTAAAAGATATTTGGCACTGTCACTTTAAAGCAAACACATTAGTAATAAAATGTTTATGAGTAGATCCAGATAAGACAAATAATGCAGGTGTGTCTAATTTTTTACATCAGATAATTTTAGTTAACAATTTTTATTTTGTATTTGATTACGTTTATTTTGTATCATGACCATTGGTACGAAAACATAACATAGACGTGTCTTTGTTTTCACCCCTGCTTGCGTGTACAAGTAATAGGCGAATTAAGCAAGAACCGTTTCATGCCTTGACATCATTATGTTGCGTTCGTGTAATAAAATTTGCATGATGGAAGGATGGTTTGTTGTAAGTGTAATTCATGCTAAATATCAACATTAAACGAAGCGGTTTTTCAGTGCAAATAAATCAATATTTCTGTTTTACGCGAAGCAGAAAAATAATCCTGCAGAAGTCCAACATAAGTTCTGTGAACATAAATTGAAGCCATTAAATATTTGCAAATGGTTTTCGGTTAGTTATGAACCTATTAATATATTTAAATCATTAGAATGGTTCGAGAAAATGTTGGAAATGAAAATATATTAGACCTACAAAAATAAAGAATACGAAACTAATGCTTTGTGCAAAACAATTGGTTATAATCTTTAAGGAAAGTGATCATGGATAATGGTAATACTTGTAACATAAACTCCAAATGAATCCCGGTACATGTATACAGTTCTGTGTTAGTGGAACAAGAATTGATAAATCTATACAGAATTCCGCTTAAGATAGTACTTGAAACAAAAGAAGCTAAAAACCCCAAGAACCATACGTATCGCATCAACACTGTATAAACTTAGGCATTTATCGCACCAGTTTATCGGGCCAATTTTTTGTACATGCTATATCATATTTCATAAGCTTTTAAGACCTCATAGAGTGTAGGTACTCATAAAATGCCACTAACACAATTTTTGCAATACGACTTCTTTTTTGACCGTAGTCTCGCTCTTTTGGTATATAGATTAACATGCGCATTTATTCTACCAAACGTTTACTCATTATTCTTCTTTTGCTACTAAATCTCTGGTTAATCCGGACCCAAAATTAGCAGACGACCGAATCGCCCGAGACGACAGTTGGTCATGACGTTCTGTTCAAATCGTTAGTAGTCTATCAACGATAGCCTTTGATCTCTAACTAAAACCGTATGGCGAAATTCTTTCCAAATGTTTCTGTGTTTTAAATTCATAATTCTAAGTGGCGTTCTTGATACAAACCAAGGGTGGTATGTTACTTCCAAGTGCATTTCTCTTCCCTCTATTTCTTTTTCGCAACATTTTGGTCTATTTATGAAAGAAACATATATTTCCAATCAAATGTAACATTGTAACATGTAAATTCTAAAGCGCGGGCGTGTTTTTTTTTTTAAAAGATTTGAAAGAAGAGAATCAATTTTTATTTAAATATTTTCTGAAAGAAAAAAAAACCCACACATTTTGTTAACTCGTTGTTGCACTATTAACCAATCTTTATATTTGAACGAAATTTGAAATGTTAATCAATGCAGCGTAAAAGAAACTCGACTTTTAATGCGTGTTGTGGCATTAGCTGTCCGAAAAAACATCTTTGACGTATTATTCAGCGTCGTGTTATCCTTAGATTTGAAATGCAAAAATGATCTAAAGGTGTTACGATAGTGTGTTAATAGTGAATCTTGATTTTGCCCCTAGACGTGACTATGCACATCAAGTTATTTGAACGAGTAAACGCGATTGTTTGAATTCTGGTCCCAAATCGTGCGCAGGAAACGAGAAATGCGATATTTTACACGAATCGAAGGAAATTAAGGGAATAAGGATCTATTTATGAATGAAGAACTGTGTATGTCCGTCATTTCCTTAGAGGTAGCGCAAGGAAACGTCAACAATTGCCTGTAAATGATTTCAAGTCGTGATATTACACTTTTAACACGTTTTACGACCGTCACAATCACGTCTCTTCTTTAGTTAACTGTCTGTCTACTTGGAAGACCAGTCGCACAATCGTCTTGTAAAGGCCATCTTCTTAACACGATATCTGTTCGCATTAATTAGTAATAATTATCAAGCAATGGAATACTGGAAGTTTAGTCGATGGTGTAATTATTAATGATACACGTTCACGTTTATCGGTACATATTATCTGGAAGTATTACGTGTAATGGATATATTACGGAGACACCACAAGTCCGATATGTATATAGCTCTAATCATAGTTACAGCAATAAAATAGACTTTCTGTATAACCATAGGAAGTATTTATTTTTTACATAATATTTGATCATAATAGGAAGAATTTGTTATCATATTAAGGAACTATTAACGGGACAATTTTTTGGGTTATCTTCAATATGAAATGAAGTGAAATGGGGTTTAACATCCTACTTTTTTTGGGGGGAGGGGGTTGGATGGCGGAATGTTTAGCACGTGTGTGCTGTATCATACGGCCTGTCATTGAGTCAACTGGCGTGGTTTCGAATCCCCGGTTGTACGTGACAAGGAGTAAGGTCGCCTGTCCAACCTCGTGGGTTTTCTCCGGATCCTCCGGGTTCCTCCCACTGCTAAAGACCCCTACGCGCAAGCGAATTATAGAGATAAAATTAAACCATATTTTAGTCCCGAAATGACCTAGTTTGTGTCGAGTGGACGTTAAACCCCATTTCTCTCTCTCCCTACTTTTTGGCACCATTTTTACTATTCTTCTTAGATTTGCAAAGAAATGTTCTATAAGGGTACTATACTTTTGGTGAAATGTATATGGCTGCGCTGCACATTTGATTTTCATTTCCGAAACTAATCTCCTATAATCTATAAATCTAATAATCCTATAATCCAAAAAGCTATCAAACACGAAATTTTAGATTTTTGTTAAAAAAACTTTTAAAAAATAGCCGATTTTGCAGTTTCACCGACAGTAATTTGTCGGAGAACTCTGAACGTCTCGATAATAGAACGACTATAGAAATACCGAAGACCGGTCAGTACAGTAAATGAGATCATTCATCACTTTTAAGACAATTGAAACGAGCAAAAACACTGGCAATGAACTAACGTTTCTTGTCTTGTAACGCCAGTGTCTTGTCAAAGTTTGAAAAATGACTTGTATAATTATGGTTTATTTCGTCCTCTTTTATTGTTGTAAATTACCCTATATTGTCTTCCAACTTGTCAAATTGTTAACAAATTGGTGATCGTCTAAATGACCGCCGCTATTCGTCAACTTACAAATTGGGCAACTGAAATTTCTATCTTTAGACAACCACATTAAACAAAAAAAAAGAGAATGGCATCCATATATCTTATGTTTGCTTCACACAGGGGTCAGGTACACAATTCTTTTTCAAATGGGTTGGGATGCCTTTGGCATCTGTAAGTGGCTTCTCTCAAGTCTGACTGAGGTCGGGCTGTGTTTTAGACTACTGCTATCACCGATTTTAGACACCGGAAGATAGTAGGTTTATGCGTTTATCGCAGACTTATAAACATTGGGTGCCACCTAACACTCATTTCCATCAACGCCGCATTCAAACGCTTAAAATCGTCCACTATAGACTGTGTCTATTTTGACATATAACATTATTATGATATATTTTAAGCTGTAAGATTTACAGGCTTGTATATAAGGGTCTTTGTATTTCTCTCATCTGGATTATTTAACTTTTGATCTCACATGTC